GGTATTTGGGATAAATACCACGCATGATATTTCAAAATTGTCAAACAAATTAAATTTCACGAGCGAAGAGAGTGAAATTTGTGACAAATTTTGAAATATCAAAAACATAGTGCTATTACTTGTTTATAAAATGGTTGAATAAAATTGTGCAATTTGAAATACCACTATTAAGGATAAATACCACTCCTCTAAGCCAATCAAATTGCACAATTTTATTCAACCATATCATACAACAATTAATCGAACTATTGTTAGTCCAGTTGCATTGGTAAAGCGGGAGGTTAGGTTTCGCTTTCTTTTTTTCTCCACCTGCAAATGGTTCAATCATCACATGTTCTCGGATAAGGAGGTGTGTTCGCCTTCCCACAGTTCATTCTTAACCTATATAGGGGTGATATAGACGTAAACTACTGAGTATACATATAAAAAACTCTGCATGTGTCTCCCTTTAATGGCTACCCGACATTAACATTACTGACTCAAACGAGATCGTCGCCGGAGTCTAGCTCATTATGGCCAAAACCTGCCCATTGGACCAAAGCTGAAAAAATACGTTGTCTTGTTTCAGGCTCCCCAAAGGTTGGGACAGCGCTTGCAATTGCAGGAAAGTGTTTGATGGGAGCTGAGTTTACATTGATATATCTATTCACAACCGAGTTGTTTCCAACAGTGATAAGGTAACTAGCAAAATCATTCCCAAACATATTTTTTTAACACAACACTTGCTATTCGTCAAAGAAATACTTCAGGAAAGTTGTCCTTCGTTTAGCAGCCATATATGGTAATCTTACCTTATTTGGAATTGTACGCGTCTCGACTGGTTTTTGGTCATTTTCTCGACTTTTAAAGGTTCAAATTGTCTGAAACTTGCAGATATTTTAGCGAAAACACTGAGCAATCGGCCATTTTGTTTGTTCCCATATATGGCATGGATTCGCTAAAGGAAGCCCAAAACTAAAAATGCAAAGTGATCCCGCACGAATGACATTTCGTATTACTAGTACACCGGCATTTGAAATGTAAAAAAAAGTTGAGTAACGGACGTTGAATATGACCATTTCATTGATTCTTAAAGGTTCCAATAAATTTAAGTTTCAATATATATTACTCACATTTTCAAAGTACTTGATTTGGCATGCATTCTATTCAAATCTGGCATACATGTAAACATTATTTTAATTCACTTAGCATTTGTTCGACCTATGCATCATCAATGCCATTATTCAACAGTCATTTTTTTTTAATTTAAGAAACATATCTTTGGGTATGGGATCGACTACAGCCCGTATTGGTGCCATAGTTGCGCCTTTCTTTGTTATGATGGTAAGATACCATGCATGTAGCTTAAAGATGCTAATAAGGGCGTCATTGGTCAATTACCGGTTACCTATAAATCAGATAAAAGCCATGTCAATTACTAACTCTACTAACCAACCAACCAACCAACCAACCAACCAACCAACCAACAAACAAACCAACCAACCAACCAGCCAATCAATCAACCAAACTAGCAAGCTAGTAAATGATCGACTACTAAGATTTAACTTAAAAATTTTATTTTTTCAAGGCTCAGCTTCCTAACATCTCCCTCATTGTTCCGTTGTGTTTATTCGGAGGTCTTGCGATGGCTGCAGCGCTCCTGTCTTTAATGTTACCAGAGACATTGTTCAAAAACATGGAGCAGACAGTCGAAGAAGCAGAAAAAGTCGAGCTTGACTACAACATTCCTTGTTGTGGAAAAAAACACGCAAAATATATTATGAATGAAGAGGAAGGGAACCGTGGACAAAAAACAACTGAAATGTAGGCAAATTGACACTGGAACTCATTGGAAAAAAACATCAAAATAATAAAATGCTTTGAGAAGCCGGACCATAGGCCAACTATTGCTTTAGAGGCTTAAAAGAACGAATGTGCGCACGCTTTCGAAATGTATATCGGCGCACGCTCTTAGCAAAATTGCGGATTACCTGTGGTACTACGTYACGATCYCTTGCCTCGCGGGTCTACACATTAATCTGTGACARACTMKWRTRT